GGGGGGGGGAGAAAGACTAAGTTAAACCCAGATCAAAGATTCAACATGCAATCAATAAGAACTCAAAAACCAGCAAGTAGAAGGCTCTTCCCCCAGCCCCCACATACACCAAGAACACACAGTACAAGAGCAATGTAAATATGCAATAAATTAAGTGAAATAAAGAGAAAGGGGTACCAAGATCTGTTTTAGAGTCAGGCTGAGAAGGTTCTTTATCAGGGGACTGAACATTTGCAGTTTTGAATTTGGACTGTAAACAGCCCATTTTTCATCAGCTCACATAGACAAATATGACACTCACAGTCTATATAACTCAAAGAATCAAAATGGGGTGCTGAAAAATCGATGAAAGATTGTATCTTTTTTTAAACTAAGTAGTGGACAATGGATGGAACAATAGATAGGGAAGTTAGGAGGAGCTAATGATTAGTGAAAGCATAGAAGAGAAAGTGAGAACACAAAAAGGAAAGAGAAGAAAGTAGTAGTAAGGGGGCCGCCAAAGAAGGGGTATAGTCACATGATAAGTCGATGATGAGCACATGAAGAGAGAGGAATAACAACGTGGGGGTGGCCAAAGACGGGGGGAGAGGGTTCTGTGGGGACTGGGCTTAAATGCTTTGTAATAATGAAGTGTTGTTTGAGTTATGTGTTCCTTTTCACAGGGCACTGTTGCAGCCAAAGACGTGTAGGCACCCGACAGTGAGATAAAAAGATTTTGCAGAGGTTTTACCCTTTTTATGCTAAGGAATTCAATGGCAAAGCCAACAAAGAAAAAGAAGATTTTACCATAAAAGAAGGCCTACTTCAATTTCACTTGTATTATTTCTTCGTATTTGTCCCTTGAATATTTTAGTTGAGAAAATTTTACCATATGGTTTCTCTATCTTGAAATATTGTACATCTTACTAAAACGGTAATACAACTTACCTCTTCAGTTTGAAATTTGAATGTGTGCCTGCTAAGCATTTTACTTTTTAGAAGTATGTACGATGTGTCTTTAAGAATTCCTTTTTATTGTGCAGATTATAACTTCAGACGAGATAAAAAGAACAAGAAATATTAGTGTTTAGGAAAGTAAATAATTCAAAATCATGAGGCGTGTTTATGATGTCTGCATGATCCATAATAATCGTAAAAATAACACGGGCTAGCCAATTTTCACGCTGATCATTTAAAAATAGCCAGCATTTACAAAGTCATTGAAAAATAGCCATTATTTTGCTACAACACGAAAAGTTCAAGCATAATATTTAAAATAATTATTTTTTAGAGATGTCTTTACTTTTTAGTCACTATTTAAAATATATTTATTTTTTAGCTAGTGCTTAATAAATCTTTACCTGTCCGGACGAAAATATTCCTGTGTTAGACATGGGTGTTGTGTAAATATTAAGGACATGGTGTCCTTAACTTCATGAATATTGTGTAAATATTAAGCACAAAGTGTCTTGTATTTGTACCTTCCGTTGTTAAACTTTAGAACCTCATGTCATTAACTTTGTATGTGCAGCGTAAATGTTGAGGACATGGCGTCCTTAACTTCATGTGTGCAGTGTAAATGTTAAGGACGTCATGTCCTTAATATTTACACAACACTCGTGAAGAAAGAGTAAAAATATCTTTTCATATTAATTTTAATAAAGTAATAATTATTTTTGTTTAGCATTAAAAATATCGAATAAAAACTAAAAATCATGTTAAAAAGTGACTATCGACGCTATTTCTACGTCAAATGTATAAGAAGTTCACGCAGAAAGCCCCTTATAAGGATGAGCCAATATAGGGATGGGCCAATGTGACCACAAATGGGCCGACTCTAATGGGCTTTCTTCACCCAAATCATTCAACATTTGAGTCCAAAGTGAATTTCAGAAAGTATAATTTTTTAGGGATTTTTTCCTAACTATACCATATATGAAACCTTATTATTCTAAATGTGCATAGTCTGTTAATTACCCGTTCAATCCACACTTTAACTACAATTTATATACCATTCGACTATTAGGCATTAAAAGGGCAGAATATTCCCTAAAAACGCGTTAAAATTAAGGAGAGAATCTTGGTGTTAATTGATTCTACATTAAATTCAATTTTTAAAAAGGGAAAGGAGATTTCTCATCTGCGTATTTTTCTCCAGAACTACAATTCAAATTCTCGAGAAAAAAAAAAGAACGAACAATTCAAATTTTCGAGTTTCAACAACTCAAAGTTGAAAAAATTTGTTCTTCCATATATTTTCCACCATTGATAGCCATTAAAAAGCTTGAAAGCTTTGAATTCAAATTTGAGTTTTCAAAAATCATTATTTGTTTGGATTGGGTGTTGTTGTAAATAATTCGGAATATGTTTAGGAGTTTATATCTCAATTTTGAGGGGTTTTGGTGAAGATTAGACTTGGTTTTGACTGAATTT